ACATCAAGCCCTCCCGCATTTTTTAGCCCATTATCGTTAATTTCACAATCAATTCCTCCACTTGGAAATTTGACTCACATTCTTGCAGTCATCATAACTTCTTTTCCTTCTTACATCCCATGGCCGGCCAGGCAGTTACTACATCTAATTTAGCCTGGAACAGTAGCTACCCAGTTCCAGCCAAGTGTCGCCATGAGAGAATGCCCACCCATTGCTGACAGTCTGCTTTTATTCAACAGAAGCCCCAAAACTGAATTGTTAAAGAAAATTTAGATTTTAAATGAAATCTTCCCACATTTAAATACTGACAACTAATTTTAGAAAACAAACAAAAAACCCAGCACCTGGGTCAAAAAATAAACAAAAAACCTAGCACCTGGGTCAAACGGAATCTATCTGCAGGCTTTCAGTTAGACTGTGACTTCTAGCCTGAGAAGTGAATGCAAATGCCTTGGCTTACAATTTCAAGCCTTCTAAAACCATCCTGAAACTACTTTCTGAATTCCAGTACCTGTAACTCAAAATAACCACAATAAACCAACAGGTCTATTATACTAACCTCCAAGCACATTTGGTTCTTTCTTACCTCCATGCCTTTGTCATGTTTGTTCCCCACACAGAAATGTTTTTCTTCCTGAGTCCTATTTTATTATCCAGTTCAAACGCTACCATTTATCTGAAAACTTCCTGGACCACATTAGCTGATGGGAATATTTCTAAAAGACACTAATACCTAGTGCTGTGTGCCAGGCACAGTCTGAGACATTGTATAAGCCCCCCTCGCCCCACCATAATACTAAGAAACTGTTACTACCAGTGTTCTCATTTTGCAAATGAAGATATCCAGGATTGCCCAAAGTAAGCGGCTGAGCTGGGGCTCAACTCAAACATATCTTGTTCCAGTGCAAAAAGAAGAGTAAGAAATGCATGCTTTGGTTATCTGTTATATGCCAGGAGCAAAAAAAAATTCACAACCTTAACATGACACATAATACCACTCACAAAATGGCTCTCTTCTTCCATTTTTTCATAATTTCCTGATTATTCCTTAAACTCCAGCCACATTAGCCTTCTTTCAATTTCTCGAATTTACTGAGCAACTTCATATCTCAAGGCCTTTGCAAATGTAGTTTCATTGCCTGGAATGTTCTTCTTTCCTAACCATTGTATTTCATAGCATCTACTGCAACTCTAAATAAATAGTTTGGTAATCATTTATTTAATGTATGTTTCCCCTGCTGTTGTGTGGTAAGTTCTTTCACTACCTCTTTCATCATTTTTTCTGTACTATACACACAGTGAGTGAATGATTGATGTCTTTAACTTTTATCAGCCATTTTAAGACTTGGAGGGATCAAACAACCTTTATCTCATAGCTAGTAAGTAATTAAGATTTTGCATATTGAAAAACCTGCACTATTTCCATTATAGAAATGTTAACCAAACTGAAATTATTTTCTAGTAATCAGCATTTAGTTAGTCTTTTCCTTTTCAGCTTATAGTGGCTGTTAATACATATTAAATTCTAAATCAAACAGTACATGAGAATCTTATCATTGAGTGTTGTTTAAATAAAAATAAACTAAAATGGGATTGCAAAGCTTTCAGAGAAAGAGATGAACTGATGGCCTAAGCAGAAGAGTCAACTTCGATGGGTAATGTAAAAGTGTTTTGCCTAATCCTTCAGAGAGTGGCAGCTAGATTTCAATTTCAGGATAGGTAGAATGTCTAATTCATCAGAAGAAAATAAGCCAAACATTTATTCTGTTGTTCCAGGATTAGAGAAATTGCTAGGAATTCTAATTGCTTCACCTTTGATTGCAATTCTACATTGAGGTCTCTATCATAGACTTTATTGCCCCAAAAGCTAGGTGTCAACAATGTGAATTAACCACCAAACTGTTAGGAAAGACATTTCTTCACAAATTCCTAAAGCATCTACATGTAATTGGGATTTGTTTTTCAAAGATTTCAGAGATTATAGTAGCAGAAATTTTATAGGGTTATTCACTACAATGGAAAGTTCCTTCAGTGTATCACCCTTAAAGATTTCTATTCCATGTTCATACTTCGGCATATGTAAACTACTATTGAGTAATCTATGCCATTGTGAAAGCTGACACGCATTACTCTTTATGTGTTGGGGCTTTGACAAGCCTATAGATTACAATCAGAGCTTACTTTCATGAAAAACAGACAAGCTTATAATAAAGGCGAAAACCTTCTTGCCTTTGGCTTCCCAAAAGGCATCAGAGATCCTGACTATATGTATGTCAGCTCCATCTAGAGAACAATTGGCTGTAGCAACTCCTCATTTTACTCGAAGACCTGGTTGTTACCCTCTCCCCTCCCCAAATCCCAGCTTCAAAGAAAATAACCAAAGCTCCTTCACATCAGATTGTGCCAGAATGCACTCACCACCTCCAAAGGACATGTAGAAGCAAAAACCATCAAATCTATGTATCCTGTTATTTGGCTATCATTTTTTAAATTATCTGTCAACCCTACCCTAGACCCTAGAGATATAAAGACCAAAAAAAAAAGAAGAAGACATTCGCTCTGCTCTTAAGTTTAGCTTCATAGAAAATTGTTAACCAGTGAGGAGTATCTACAAATAGGTGTCCAACACGGATAATGGATTCACATTGAAAGCAATAACTGAATGAAATTTAAAATTAGACATACGGCCTCCTACCTCTACTTCCCTCAACTCTGCTCTGCCTACCAAACTTCTTGATAAGATTGCATCACGCTGCTGATATAAATACATACTCCAAGATTTATCTCTTATTCGCTTTGATCTCTTGGAATGCTCTAAAACAGGTATGGCCACGAGATTCTAAGAGTACAAAGAGGAAGAATTCAGATTGACTAAATTCTTTAGTGCAATTTTTTTCAGTAGTGTTTGACTGTTAGTAGTGTTTGAATACTGTTATTTGACTAAACGATAGTGATCTACAATGCACTGAGTTTTTGAAAATACAAGGACCCTTTGACAAAACTTCTTTGACAAAACTTCTTTGACAAAACTTCTCATTATAAACATGTCATACACATAATTTTAGAAAATTTAGGCAAGTTAACTAGAGATTAAGAAGAAAAAACAAGTTAGAGAGAAAATCTCCAGGTCTCAAATGTCTATCTGATTCACGTTCTCTGGATTCCCCTGGGACTTCGCCAACTCCCAGCTAACCCCCTAGAAATAGATCCTTTTTCTTACATTACTACTTCCACTGTCTTATGTTTGACCCTCATTGTATTTTACTTAGAATATCCCAGTGACTTCTTAATTGAGTTCTTTGCACATGGTTTTATGGTAGGGACGGCCGCAAACGATTTCGGTACTATTCTTTATGATTGATAGGTGAACACAGACCTTTTTGAGAGCACACCCTTACGAGACACAATAATCTCTGTATTTTGATCTGAGAAATACCAGGAGAATTTCTTGCTCCTAAAATAATTGTGGTGTGAGAGTGTAAAGATAGCTATTCTTCCTCTGACATTTATAGGGCCTTTTTATTCAAGACATGGTCTTAATCCTTTATTCAGTAAATCTTAATACTGTTTCCATATTTACATATGAGAAAATGGAAGCACAGAGAAGTTAAGTAACATGCCTGTGAACACACAGCCAGTAACTGTGAAAAGCAAGACTAAAACTCAGTATTCTGGTTCCAGAGACCACGCTCTTAATCATGATTCCCAAAAAGCAGGAGCCATACATTAATCATTGGTGTATACCTGGCGTTTGAGTCATTGCCAGCCATGGAAAGGAGGGTGAGTCAAATACTACTAAAATAAAAAAAAAATTTAAAAATTTTTAAAAAATGAACTGGAAGAGGAAAGGTGCTCAGATTCTAAAGGAAAAACCATGTAAACATTTCCAGTTAGGAAAGATAGGGCATCATGGCTCTGGTCGACTTGCTCTTATCCATTCTAGCTAGGTTCCCCGCCCTCAACAAGGAGATATTTGTCAAATGTAAACCTGACCCTGTTATTCCCCCATCTCACTGCTGGGAATTTGGAAATGGGAATGGGAAACCTTATCACACTGTTTCTTAAACTTATACAGGAAACGTCTTTTCCTAATAGCTGGCAGGTGACAGTAACTACACCTTTAAGGGATAGGCACATAGAGCAAACAGCAGCCACAACTCTGAGTTCTCACAGACTGTGCCTCAACCTTAATATTCTAGCAAGTTTGGCATTTATTCTACAATTTATCTGTTTATTGTAAAATAAAAATAGTGTTGATAACTATTTATAATTACAACTCTAGGAGAAAAACTTTTATTCCTACCACAATTTCTAGCACCACTTGGCCTATATGTGCATTCTTTCAGGACACTCCCATACTGCAGCTTCATATACAAAACAGGGCGCTGCTCTAATCTAAGCTAATTGGCAGGACACATAAAACTCTTCTGGACCCAGCACCTGATTCATTAGGCCCCTGTCCCACCTCTCCAGCTAACACAGTAATTCACAACCACAGTAACTATCAAATTTCAACCTGTTTTCCGCCTCCTAATCTATTTAATAATTAGGTCCTTGTAGACTTTATCCATCGTTCCAAACCTACTTAGGTGTGATTTTAATGAAGTCTTTCTTCTACCTTATTCTTCGCCACAGTGTGTGGCCACTTAACATACTTCCCTAGTTTAATAAACTGCTTGCATTTGTTTACGCCGCTCTCTCCCCATACTAGGTTGTGCTGTGCTGCTCCTGGGGACAGGTCCTTGTTTTAGTCGGCTTAACACCCCCAGTGCCAAGCAGAGAGAGCCCTGCCATACAGATGAATCTCTGTCTGTAAGGAAACTGAGCTCACAGTAGATAACCGAATCCTTCAAGAGAAGAAAGAGAGTTATGAAATTGGAATTAAAAAATGAAAGATCTTGGCATATCTCAATCTCGATTTTCTTTCCTAATAGAACTCCAGGTTCTCGGGGCAGGGGTCGTCGAGCAAAGAGAGCAGGGGCGGCGGAGGAGTCACTCACCAGTTGGTGGAAGGGTGTCTGTTCTCTAGCGTTTTGGTCCAGGGTTTGTACCAGCTGATCTGCTCGGCGGCTTTGCCCCAGAACCTCTCAGGGTCCGCCAATGAGGCCGCGAAGTGAGTCTTGTACTCACCGCCGCCACCGCCGGAGGACAACGCGCGGCAGCCCCGGCCCCCGAGAGCGCCTCGCGGGCCGGGGGCCACGTAGGCCCTGCGGGCCTGGCCGGCTCCCCGGGCTAGAGAAGACCCGGGCAGGGGTCCCGCAAGTCCTCCGGCGCCGGTGACTTTGCGACATTGCAGCCAAGACGGCTTCATCGCCGTCAATTACTCCCACGCAGGCTGCGCGACCCGCGGTCCCCAAGTGAATTTCTCAGGCGACAACTGGGGCACTCGCGACTTCCCGGGCCAGAGGGGAGCAGGCGGGAGGCGGGGACCAACTCCGAAGTGAGCCTGGAGCCCAGGAGTTTGGACGTCACAATAGAGTCGCTGGAAAAAAACCGACCCAGAGAGGCGGGGAAGCAACAGGCTGGAATGGGCGGGGTGGGGGGTGAGGAGTGGTGACGGCGCCCTAGCGTGACTGCGGCCCTGCAATAAATCCAAATCCTCTGTGCTTTGCCGACCTCGCGGTTCCCAGGCAAAGTGCCCTTAAACTACAGAACGTCCTCACTTCAACGAAACACAAGGACCCCTAGGATGAGAGCCATGGGCCCAACTCTCAGTTTTCAAGCAAGGAAGTTGTGCGCAGCTTCTCCGGGTTAATCTTTGGAGAGAGAGCTGGGGGAGGCGGCACCGCCTCTGGCCTGCAGCGGAAACTAGCAACTCCGGGCTTTACAGCGAGGCACCTGATGTGTTCCTTTTATTTATGTATTTTTTAAAACTCAGCTCAGTCCTTGGTTATTAAAAACACAAGCGACACCAGGGCAAAGACCGCTCCAGGATTTCCTGACAGCTGAGAGGGTAGGAGGGATGGAAGGAGGCTGCTCCAGCCCAAAGAGAAATGTTCTTGGGGGTGATTGGCCACTGGGGTGGGTAACCCCACCGAGATGGGGTTATCTTGCTGAGTGAACTCCCCCACAGGATCTCCCTTCCAATTTACCGCTTTGGAGTTTTTGTGCCCCCCCCCCTCCTTCTTTTTAAATGAGGGGGTAAAAAGCCAAAAGGAAGAGTTCAATAAAAATAAAATGAATCAGAAGAGGAAAAGACGAAGCGGAGGAAAATTAAAAGAGAAGAGTGGCATAAATTACTGAGTTTAACCTTCTTAAAGCTCCTTCACTTTTTTTTTATATCTTAGTGTAATTTGGACGTGATCTCATTTGCCTTAGTATCATGCCAAATGCATTCTGTTTTGGTGTGGCGTTATTTGCAGTTTTAAAAGTAAAGATGTATATTTCCAAATCTGAAGTGAGAAATAGAGGAATGCCCCTGGCCCTAGGAAAAAATCGTAAACTTGAGAAGTTGTAAACAGATTATTCTTCAGAAAAAGAATGATGTGGAGGTAAAGGTTAAACAGAACAGATAAATCTAATGCAATAGAGGGGGAAAAAAAGTCTTTAAATAACTACCTTTCAACTGAGAAGCGAGGCACAAGACTTTTTCCTGACACCTGTACCCTACTTTATTCCTTCCAAAGATCTCAAATCAAATGTTTTCTAATAGCAACACACTTGTCACCAGAGAAAATTACAAAGCCTTTTAAGCTCCTGGCCCCCTCCTTTCCTCTGCCCAGTTACTTAATGCTACTTTCTGGCATACAAGATCTCCTGACTCCAAATTATCTATTGCATTACAATGATGTCAACTTCAGTTATTTGCTTAACAAATATATGAGCACCTACACAGCAAGGGTGTGGTTTGTTGGAGAAGCTATGAAGAAAGAAAGTAGACATAGGCACCTACTGTGTTTACACATCGTGCCCCCACTTTCAAAGATGTTAGCACCTGTGATTCTCAAAGGAATATCAAAAAGTGGGGTCTATAATCCCCATGTTTACAAATGGAGCTTGAGAGAGGTTAACTTACTCAAGGCCATGCAACTGCCAAGCAAAAGGTCAAGATTCAAACCTTGTCAAGGCTGGACACTTGGCAGCTCAAGCACTGAAGTCCACATGTGCCATGATACCAATCACCACTTCAAGGTAGAGGGCTTGCTCATAGACAATCCACTTCACTCCTGTCACTTACCGCATACTATGCAGATATGATCATTTTCTCTCTGTACTAAGACTTGAAAAAGATGGGGAATCTGACTCCAAATCTATGATTTTGGCACCAGGCTGATTAGGAATAGGAAGATATTCCTATTTAAAAGAAATATTTTAGACTTCCAATAAAATATGACAAGTTGAATACCCAGATCTATTTCTCTAATCCTAGAAATATTACTGAAAGAGTCAGAGGAGTGGTGGTGGTGGTGTTAGTAATAACCTACAAGGACAAAGAGAACAGAAGAGAAGAAAACAAATGAAAGAAGGGAAAGAAGGCAGATTTGTGGTCTGTGACTTAAAAGCAGGGGTGGGGGGGGAGGGGAAGAGAGCTGAATTTATCTGCTTTTAGAGGCAAAAAGGGTTTTCTCCTCAGAAACCTGGAATGTCTCAGGATTTGGAGGTCCTGGGTTCTTCTCAAGGTTTAAAATGAAGCTTAAGGGCTTAAAAACAAAAGGATTAATTAAAAGATTATATGAAGCGAAGTTAGACCCCCACATTGCCCATCCTATTGAAAACATTTTCTCTGTACACAGTAGTCCACAGGGGGCCTGAAACCTACATATGCAATGTTTTTCAATAGACAGATACTTTTTCACTTAAAGGAAGCACTTTCAGGTTTCTCTTTGGCACATCCAAATTGCCAGAATCACTGCTTGTGTGCTTTAGGGCCATTAAGTAAAATAAGGATTACTTTAATACAAACACTGCGATACCACCAGTCCTGACAACCAAGAGGACTACTAAATGACTAAGGGAAAGGGCACGCATACGCCATGAACCTGCTGTACAAAGATTTATTCACATCCCGAGCAGGATGGAGCTGGATGGAGTTGAATGGACTGATGCCATCATGATATTCAAAATATCTCACATTTAAAATGTATGAATTGTTCGTTTCTGGTATTTTCTATGTAATATTTTTGGACTACAGGTAACTAAAACTGCAAAAAGCAAAACCATGGATAAGGGGGAACTACTGTACATTGACTTGTTTTAAGCAATTGTACAAAATTGATTGTTGATGTAAGTTTCATTACCAGCCAAGGGAAGAGCATGACTGAAGGCACAGCCCAGCAAAGGCAAGAGTACAGTATACAGGTAGAAGAGGAGTGGGCTGTAAGACTAGAAACTTTTATTGGAGCTGGATGGGGCATTGCACAATAGTGTCAAATGCAGGCTGAAGCCTGAGAACAGACCATTGGCATTTAAATTAAGTCACTAAGAGCTTGTTACCTGGTCACTAAGAATATGAAAAGCTTAAAAACATTAGCCATTGAGTCTCAGTTTGAATCCTCGTACTTATTAGGGGGTAAAACTCAGAAAATATATTAGTTTCTCTACACCATAATTTTCGTATTTGTATTCTGAGGCTGATGCTTCACAGGATTGCCGCAGTTTAAGTATATGTAAATTGCTTAGTGTCAGGGCAGTAGCAAATCAGACTAATTTAGGAGAGCAGCAAAGTTTTTGAACGAACGACCAAACCAAAAATTCAACCCAAAAAATCTTCAGCTTCATTACCATACTTAACATTTTTTAATCAGAAAATTTCTAAAGAAATTACTTTAATTTAAATATGCATGTACATCTATACTATCTCAAAAAATAAAATTACAGTTTTAACTAATCTGGGGACAGGTGATAACAATTTTTTTGTAACCACACACAAACTTCATTTCTTTAATATAGTTTTTTTTCTATGTTCAAACTGGTTTTACCTAGATAATGGTATTGTGACTTGCTTGCTTTTATTTTCTGTCCTTATCTTCTGTATGCCTGCTCCTTTTTAAAATTATTAAGCCTATGACATAAGACTAACCAAGCCTCAGGTCTATAATCATGAGGACAATATGTTTCATTTGAACTTTAGACTAAAGATAACATCTTGGCCTTAGACATGTTTCAGCCCCAGGTGCATAGAGGCAGAACCACCCTACCAGCCATGGAACCATCCATGGGACCAGACTAGGCAGGATGGCACCATGGCTGGTTCTGGATCTGGACACAATGATCAATTATCTCATTCCTCTCCAACTATCCAATCAATAGCACTCACCCACCCCAACTCCCTTAGCTTCCATGACTACTGATTTTTCCCTATGTAATCTGCACTCCGGAGACATCCAGGGAGCCAAGTCTTTGAGCCAGATCTATCTGTGGGACTTGCAACTCCCTAAAATAAATTCTTATTTTCTTTGCTGCTGTTGCAGAAAAGTTCCAAAATCAGACCATCGAGAAACCAAGCAGAACTTGGAGAATTGGAGAACTCAGATTTATTATGCCCATCAGGGGTGCCAGAGGAGCTAGCGCTCTGAAGATCTGGGCCCGGAGCTCAGCTGCAACATTCCTAATATAGACCCTTTTGGGCACAGGCTAATTGGTTAATTTGTCCTCAGATGGTTGTGAAAGCGACAGGAGCTGCTAGGTTGTTGGTAGTTACAAAGGGCAGAAGTTGCTATAAGTTACTGGCAGTTACAAAGTGTTACAAAGCACAGGAGTTGCTAGTGGGTACAAACAGTTACATTTGTTGCTTAGACAGATCAAACAAAAGGGAAGGTGAGTCTTTCTTTAGCAATGTCGAGTACAGCCCATGCAGCAAGCATATTTTCAGAAGCAGAACAGAGAGCTGATTAGACTTTTGAGTGAAAATTCCTCTTCACTGCAAAACCTTCACATATCTCTTCTTTGGCAGGCAGGCTCTTTATTTATAACTCTATATAGATATAGTTTATTTCTCTATAACAATATGTTGCTTATTCCATTGAAACGTATCAATCTAGTATAAGCAAACGCATCATATTTGAAAAATGGGAAACTGCTATTGGTTATTTAACTTTATTTTTGTCCTTTTTATATTTTGGTATTGTTGTTTTATAACAACAAATTTCAAGTAATATTACTGGACTCTGCCAGACTATTCCAGTTACAGGAATCTCCTCCTGGCATGTGTGTGCATGTGTGTAAAATGTGTAAATGTGTAAAATGTGTGTGTTTAAAATGACTAATATCTGCTTTCTTCTCTAACATCTCTAAAGTACATTCCTTTATCTCTTCTCAGTGAGCTAATATAACAGCTTGCTAACCCAAATCCTTTTCTGCAGGTTGGTCTCCCTCCTATCATTCAATTAATCAAGTATTTACTGAGTGCCTCATACCATGCTCAGCAAGATTCTAGGAACACAAAGAATAATTTAAAATAACTAAGAGACCATCTCTGTTTTCAGGGAGCTCATAGTCTATGCAGGAGGAAAACAAGTCAACAAATCCAACGTAGTTTGTTAGGCCTTTTAGAGGTA